ACTTTAAACAATGGACTAAATTCACAATCCTGCCACTATTCTTGGGCTATCATCTTCCTATAAACGCTGTTAGAGATTTCATTGTGCTCCTCCCTCCCACCGTCTACTCCTGAAAAGTACATGTTGAAGCCCCCACCACAGTGCCTCACAATATGATCTTATTTGGAAATAAGTCATTACAGAGTTAAATGAAGACATTTGTGGATCTATTTAATTTTCTTTTTCTCATTTTGGGGTTGGAAGCCATGGCTTCACAAATTTTAGGCAAGCACTTGAGCACCGAACTGTATCTCCAGCCCTAATGTGTGATCATGTTGTAGGGTGAGCAACTAGTTCAGTATATGCCTGATGCCTGTATTAAAATGTCATGTAAAGAGACGGAGACAAAAGAAAACTACTAAATGACAGTAAAGGCAAAGATGGTAGTTTTAGATCAATAAGCCAAGAGATACAAAGATTACCAGCAAACCATCAGAAGTTAGGAGAAACACAAACCTTCTTTAGAAGAACCCAATTTCAATGTTTAGCTTCCAGAATTATGAGCAAATGAATTCCTTCTGTTTTACTATGGAGGCTGAGGCAGGGGGATTGCTATGAGCTCAAGGCCAGCCTGGGCTACAGAGTGAATTCAAGACTACATCTCAAGACCCTATCTCAAACAAGGTTCTGTTGTTCATACTTCTCCATCTTTATCCCTCTCTTTTTCCCTCAAACTTGAATTATATTTGCAGCCTTTAAAAACTGGGTTTTGAGACAACATCTCAAATGGCCCAGGATAGTCTGAAACTTGCCAACTTTGTGCTTCAGCGTTTAGAGCAGAAGGAATTACAGGCATGTACAACATACCTAATTTCTCACTTTCTTTCAATATGTTATTATTTACATGCTGGAGACTGTTTAATATTGGGAGCTAAAAGGATAAACATAAATAGGCACTCGTGTGATTTATATTCTAGTGAAGCAAGCAATCAAGTCATCCATAAAACTCCCATTGTTTTATATAGGAAAAAGTTGCAACCAATGCAATGACATTCCAGGATTAGGTGTTTTTGAGAATGTCTAGTCAGGCTTCCTGGAGAGGTAACACTCTGGCTAAGATCCTGAAGAGGAAGGGCAGTGACTTAGGTGCAGGGGAATGGATGTGCAAAACTTTTGCGGATGGAAGGCTTCACTGGGCACACACTGATTCTAAAGATCAGCAGCTGAGTCAAAGTTACCTTCTTCATTCTTCAAAACATGAGTTTTGGCCACTTGTTTCCTCTGACATGCCTGCCCTCATGCTGCAAGATGTATTTCTTTTCTTACTGTTACTTAGCCCAAACTTGCTATGCAGAGACTGCCTGTTTTTCTGCTTTTATTCTGTAGCAGGTCTGGTGGTGAACTCCTATAATCCCAGCACTTAAGAGGCTGAGGAAGGATAGCTGCAAGTCTGAGGCCAGCCTGGGCTATAAAGTTCAAAGCTAGCTTGAAATATACAGTGAGAACCTGTCTCAAAACAAAACAAAAAAAAAAGCAGCCCACCAAAAATTACTGGAAAACGAAATAAACAAAAAACTTTTGCTATCATTTGCGCTTGTCTTGACCAATTCTTTAATCAGGATAAAAACAAAAACAAAAACAAAAACCTAGAAACCATCTCCAGAAGGAGACACCATTGCCCCCAAACCCAGTAACACATCTGGTGAGCCAGCCAGGAGAACAGGTTTTCTTTCTTCAATCCAGCCCGTGAATCACAATATCTCATGGAAGTTGGAGAGCACATATTCCTCATCCCAAAGCCCTGATGATCAAACAAAACTTATAATTGACTTTTTGGAATAAGTAAAACATTGACCTGACACTTTCATTGTGTTTTGAAGTAGAATAATTAGGGAAAGATATCTACAGTGCTTATAGTTTGGGCTGGGAAGCTTTAAGGTAAGTCCTGGAAGGTGTGGAGCTAGCTGTAATTGGACAGTCTTCTGGAATATTAACTAATGAATTAAAAGAGAAAAGAAAAAAATATACAGTGATTACTCGTCTGTTACTATGAATGTGTAGTTATTAATTATGATATTTATAAGTTTAGGTCTGTGTGATATTAATTTTCCCATAAGTTTTTAATAGATGGATATTACACTGAAAATTTCTACACTTTGGAGAAAGGGTGTGAATGGTATAACTGTGTTCTCTACGATGACCTAAGTTTTTAAAGTTCTGTCTTCACAATTTTTATCATGATTGTTGGTCTAACTCAAGGCTTCTCAGTTACAAAACAACTTACATTCTTAGCCAGGCAATTCTTAGTCTGTGGGGCTGTGCTGTGCATCGTAGGATATATAGCAGCATTGCTGGCCTCTACCAACTAGATTCCGGCAGCAACCCAAATTCTCTTGGGGTTGTTACACCCAAGGAATGTCTCCAGAGTGCCAAATGTTCCCACAAAACCAGCCTGAGTGAGAATTACTGGGTTAGTTTCTAGGAGGTTTCCCTCATTCAAAACTAGTTTTATTACTATGAGTTTTATGGCAATATAGATCTTTAGTTTGAAGTACTTTTGCTGATAATTTTGAGTACTTAGACATGGAGATATACATGAGATTTTATTTAAAAAATTATTTTGAGAAGATTTTACTATGTAGTTTAGATTGGTCTTGAACTTATGATTCTTCTTAATTAGCCTCCTCCCAAGTACTAAAATTACAGGTATGTGCCACCATGCTTAGCTACACGTGGGATTTTCACTGAGAAGACATTCCTCAAAAATTGGAGAGCTACAGGGAAATGGATGCAACTTGGGACCATACTCATAAGTGAAACAAATCAGACTTGCACGTACAACATCGTATTGTCTCCTTAGTGTGAAAAGCCGAAAAAGGGGATCAAGAATGTACATTAGATCTTGAGAAGTGGAAGGAAGTTGTTCAAAAGAAAGAGAAACTGGGATGGGGGAAAGAAAAGAAAGGGAAATATATACATATATACACATATACAAAACAGTTAAGATAGTTATACTACTAACTACTATTAAAATAAAGTGTGTCCCTATGTTTTTTGATCAATTTTTTTTTATGCCTATAGCTTGTAATAGGAGCAACTACTTGGAAAATAACAACACACATTGTACAAACAATTGTTAGCCACGATCTTACTTTGCAGTTGTGAACCACTGTTTTTACTGCTCTTTTCTGAAAAAAAAAAAAAAAATAGGAGAGCCAATTTAAGATTTCAGCTCATTCACGTAACCTCGCCCTGCCTTCTCAGAGCAGGGACACTTTGCCCCAAGTCGTCTTGTCATTCTGTGTGGAGATCCACTGACTTTTTCCAAGCTTACAAACTTACAAAACAGGAAAACAAACAAAAAACTGTATGTTTTAGAAACAAATTTTGAGAATTCCAAGAAGTCAGTTGAAAAATCTGTCTCCAGACAGGTAAGGAAACAAATAAACAAAACTACAACTTTCCAGACCTTCATGGCTCAGCAGAAGCAATTTTCTTCTATTTTCCCTTTGTTCCTTTGTAGTCCACCAGTCCTTAAGAGTTTAACCTCCAGGCACGGTACCATGTGCCTATGATTCCAGCTCTGGGGAGGTGAAGAGGAGGGATCACAAATGCGAGCCCAATCTGAGTAACAAAATGACTTGACAGCCTGTCTCAAAATTAAAAGAAAGAAAAAAAAAGAACAAAAGAAAAAAAGAAAAGCAAAGTGGGGAGGTGGCTTAGTGGTAAATCTCTGGATTCAATTCATACCACACAACAAAACCAAACCAAACCAAACCAAACCAAACCAAACAAAGCCCCATTTACTGTTCACTGTGCACCAGAGAATAGCTATAGAGAGAAAGGTAAATACTATGTTTCTTTCCTTCAGCATAGAAATTGGCTTGTATTTTGGGGAATATAACTAAAATTGGACAACCGCCCTTTTTGTAAGTGTGCTTATCGTAATGAGGAAGCCCACCCAATCCTATGAAATAGGATGCAGGACCGAGCTTTCTGTGTGCGTGTGTTAGGAAAACATCGTGTCATTTTATTCCCTGTCTATCTCCTCCCCAGCTGGGTGCTCGGACCTTGCTTTTTAATTAATTCCTTACTTTAATTCCTTACAGTTAATTCCTTCCTTTAATTTCTTTAAATACTTAACAGCTACATGACCCACTTCAGGAAAATTAAACCAGTCTCTGATTATCAGTTTCACTTTAGTAATAAGATTAACCAACATGTACAAATTGTTAAAAAAAACTATAAGGAAATTATGATAAATCTTTTACATAAAACTCCTTTCATAAATATTTTTGGTTCTTAGCATTGATACTCCTCCTGAGCAAAGATGTAAGATAAGGCATTTTTTAGTAGATTAGCATACAAACAAAGAACAAATAACAAAACATTATCACAATATAACTTATATATTTCAAAATATTCAACTTCCAAGCTTTTTTAAAATTTAATTCTTGTCAAAAAGAGAAGTAGAAACAATACTTGAAAAAAATAATTTTAAAAATCCACATTTTCCATAACCTCCTTGCTACTCAGATAAAATATTCAGGAAAATTAAGTTATTCTTTTCTAGGTTGAATTCATAATAGGTCGTCTCCACTCAACACAGGCACCCTGCACTGCATTGGCATTATTTTGCTTTCATTCTTGATTTTGCTTAATTCTGTAAATGTTTTCAGAAGTAGTTCTAGAGTTTTAATCCTAGTTCTAAGGACTGCAGACTATATTTGCTCTCCTTTTTCTAACCCTGTGATGCATATGCATTGCTTGTTCTAAATTGGTTAAGGGTCTTTTGTTTATTATTATTCAAAATTCAGCTTAAATGCAACCACATCCACTGAGCAGATATTGAAAGCCTTATGAATGCAAAGGTTCTGGGCATTTTACTGGGATGCAACTCATGGAAGCCTTTTATCGGATGACTTTTATAGAAACTCTTTCAGCATGTCCTACACTTAACTTTCTGGTCTCTTGTGATCTTAGATCTTCCATAAAGAAGAACAAGAGCTAATGCTGACATTTTAGGAAGGAGCACGAGGGAGACAGACAGTAAGAGAGTCTGAATTCATGTTTCCATTTGGAATACAAAGAGAAAATAGAGGCCTAAGGGCTCCTTGGAAGCTGAGATGAGAGAAATTATAAATGAGGGATCTCTCTGTCACGTTGTAGAATGATATATGACCATACTCATAGCCTAAGAAAACTCCAACTTTTCGCATTTTCTTTTGTAAGCAGACCTTTTTGAAAGGGGGAAAGACCCAGAAAGTATAATCAGTCCCCATCATGGATCCTATGAGTAGGAATTTATCTGGAGAAGCTCTGAGCGTGTTGTCCTTGTTGTCTGCAGAGTCCCTGGACACACCCAGCTGCCACTGTGCTGCCTGGTCCACAGCTACTTCCCAATAGTGCCTTCCTGAGCAGAAGCGTTCCACGCCCAACACGGAGGCACTGAAGTCAAAGCTCCTCGGGTTTCCAGGCACATCCTGCTGGATACTTCCAAATCTCACAGTTCTCAGGTCTTCCGAAAGGACCAGCCAACAATGAGCGGTTTCAGGATCCAAAGTTATATGTCCTGTAGACAGAGAGAAATTTAAATCACATAGGCATTCATCAAAGCCAATGCCAAAAAATGAACTTTTTATATGCGGGAGCTTCCCAAGGAGCAGGAACGAGACTCAGGCAGACATGGGGAATCTAGGAAGATCCCGCCAAAGGAGCTTTGCGTGTTTCAATAAGTGAACAGCATGGAAAAAGAAGTCAATAAAATGATGGAAAAGGATACAATCGAAGAAGAATACAGAACAAAGAATAGCAGAACAGAACAAAGAATAGGAAGCTTTAGAAGTACCCTTATCCCAGAGGCTATAAAATTGTCTTGGTACCCAGCCCCATCCAGGTACTTCCTGGGATCCATCTCTAGTCCCCTACAGACTTTTTTCCAATCCTGGAACACACAGAAGTACTGGTGTCGACTAAAAGAATAGTTGATTCATGGTTGTTCCTTGTGACTTAATCACTCTACTCATTTTAAACATCTCCGGTGTGACATAAATTCCTAAAACTACTGACAGCAAGTACTTGATATTAAGTAAATCAAAGGAGAATGTATTAGCAGAGGCTAGAAAACCTATGAGAATTCTTCATTAACATCAGAGAACATGAAGTAAGCTCACGGTGATTCCTTACCCTTGAAGGAAACTGCTACATGTCCTTTTCATATGTTAGACTGCCCCTTCTATCTCTGCCCAGTCCTCAAATGTGTGACTTTTTTCAGAGCTTGGTCCTGGAGACTTCTTTCCTTTTACTATTTTCATTCCCTTCTGCAGGTCACATCAGTTTTAGCAAACTCCCAGTTATTAGCTGGGTGTAACATGGGAATGTCCAACATAATATATCAAAAATGGAACTCAAACATCATTCCTGCGCACTTTCCACTTCTCAGCTAATAGTACCCTCGTTGCTCTAATTGATTAAGCTGTAACTCTGCAGTGGTCCTATATTTCTTACTTCCTCTAACATCTAACCAAGGAGCAAGTTCTGTACTCCTATTACTTAACTTCAGCAAGTTAAATTAACTTAAATCCTTGGACTGGCAGCCCAATTCACATTACTAGAGCAGTCCCCAAAGCCACAGGCCTTGAACTTTAAAGTGCAAGTTGGCCCAGACTCTTAAGTATTTCCAAGAGACGAGCACAAACCATGAAAACTTTCTCTGGAAATATATATATAGCTTTATTCCTGGCAACAAAGCATTTTTAAAAGTAATATCTGAGGAAAAAAGATCAACTTAGAATTGAAAGTCAAAAACATACACTCACAAAATAGCAAACTACGATGGACCAAGACTGGCAGAAATCAATCTGTAAGGAATTTTAAATATTGGAATTACTAGGCACAGACTTTAAAATAACTTTACCTACTATGCTTGAAGAAAAACAAGATATTAAAAAGTCTATATAGGATAAAGGGGCACGGAGTATAGCTCGATGGTGGAGTGCATGCTTAGCAAAAAATGCATATAGATTATAAAAGTTTTGCAAGCCTAAACACATTTAAGAAAGAATCAAATAGATCACCCAGACATTAAAAGCAAAATGAATTAATTTCAATGTGCTAGTAGGTAATCGATTACAAAGCAAGTAGCTATAGCCTGACTTGTCTCTCATGAATCTACATGTAAAAATTCTTAACAAAATGTTAGCGTATTAAACAAACCAATATAACATCAAACAATATAACATCACTACCAAGTGTTCCTGAGAATATAAGACTATTTGATGTATGAAAATCAATCAACACAATCTACCTTATTAACAGATTCACAAGAAAAAAACATTAAGAGATAGAGAAAAGGCGCTTGATAAATTTCAACAATCATCCATGATGAAAATTTTCATCGAATTAAGAAAAATTCTTTAGTTGAAAAGCAACAATTAAAAGCATAAATAACATCAAATTTTAGGGTGAAAGGCTTATTAATGCTTGCTTGTGTTGTACAATCAAGATTAAGGCAAGTGGCCTGGGATTCAGTTCAGCGCCTGCCTTGCAATCGCAGGGTCGTGAGTTCAATCCCTGGTACCAAAACAAAAAACAAACAAGCAAAAAAAAAAAAAAAAAAAGGTTAAGGCAAGTATCCATCCTCACCACTCCTGTCCAACCTACTGCAGGTCTGAAAGTACAGCAAGGTATTGGAAAGGAAAAAATAGAATTGTTCATATTTGTATGAAGCGTGATGAAAACTATGGTGAAATTTAAAAAACGTCATTTTTAACACACTTATTATATTGTTTTTGCCACTTCCTTTTGTTTTGTTTTCTGCCTTTTTGAGACAGGGCTTTGCTGTGTAGTCCAGGCTGTTCTTGAACTTGTGGTGATCCTCTTGCCTCAGCCTGCACTGTGCTAGGATTACAAGTGTGTGTGCACCACACTGGGCTTTTGCTATTTTCTGAAGCAGCTCTGGAGGTTTATTTATTGTGTCTTTAGCTGTGCTGTTGTGTGGTGGCTGCACTGATGTTCTGAACTGATTCAAAACGTTTATTTTTCATGGTCATTTTGGCTTTGGGGAAGAGCCAGAAGTATCATGGTGTCACATTTGATGAATAAGTTAGATGAGGACACACAGTGATGCTGTTGATCATACTTCTCGAAGACACTCATGAAAGAAGACTTGCAGAACTGCTACAGGAGTGGCAAGAATGATGGGACACGTGTGTGTGAAGTTTGAAGGAGGGGAAACTGATGGTAATTTGTCTTTCACTGTGAGATTTTTTTTTTTTTTCAAGAAAGGTCTTGCTATGTAGTTGAGGCTTACCCAGAACTCACTATACAGCACAGGCTGGCCTCAAACTTGTGAAAATCCTCTCATCTCAGTCTCCAGAATGCTGGGCTTATAGGTGTATGCCACCACACCTGGCTGTAATAATTTTTTTTTTATTTAAATGCACACCATAATTTTGACCAACATTTTAAAAAATATATGACTGTCTAAAGTACTATAGAAATCGATGCGCATTTAAAAAATTTATCAGAAAACAAGATGGAAGTTAAGCCTTTGTCTGTGAGCCAACTGGCACCCAGAACAGCTCGCTCCCCACTATGAGTAACCAACTGATTCAGAGGAACTGCATTGTTTGATTAACTTTGCAAGCCTAAAAGCTCGGCAACTATTTAGAGGACAATAATATGTAATTATAGATTTCCTACTGTCTTATCACTGTTTTGATTAGTGTTATTGTTCTGTTTTATTCCCTTAAAATTAAATTTAAAAATTCACTTGGATCTAATGAACAAGTTTACCATAAGATACACATGGCAATATAATTTCTATTACTATGTAACAGTAATAAACTAGAAATAGATAAAATTTGAATTCCAGATTGGTACTTAAAATACTATTTATAATAGAACTAAACACATAAAATACATAGGAATCAATCTCAAAAAATACATAGAAGCCTTAAATGTTAATACTGCTTATATTGTCACAATGTTTATTCTGCCCTAATTCACCCATAGATTAAACATAATGCCATTCAATTCCCGTAGGATTATTTTGAAGTCAACAGACTTTTAACAGTCAACAGACTGTTAAATTTACATGGAAAAGCAAAGCCTCTAGAGTAAGATAAACTGTTTAGAAAAAGTTCATTTGAGTGAGATGATGTGATGGTACATGCCAAGAAGTCCAGCACTTGAGAGGGTGAGGCAGGAGGATTACAATTTTGAGCCTGGGCTACATAGCAAGGTCCAGGCCAGTCTGGACAATAGCAAGTTGTTGTTTCAAAAAAACTACATAATTTATTAATTAGGAGAACTCATGGTACCTGCTTTCAGGACTTCCTATAGGGTTATTCATCAAGTCAGTATAGTATTGGCAAAAAGACACAATGATCAACAGACCTATTAGAATCCACAATAGGCCTGGTGACATACACCTTTCCAACAGAAATGCCAAATAGAGAGTTTTCAACAAATGAAACTGAAATATCATCTCCAGTTGGCACTGAAATAACTGCGTATCCATGCACAAAATCATAACAAAAGTTTCTTAAAATATATGCAAATTTTATTCCAGTAGATGGTAGATCTAAATGTAAAACACAAAACTATAAAATTTCTACAAGAAAATCCTTGTTGGAGTAGGCAAAGACTTACTTACTAAAACACAGAAAATCCAAAACTAGAAAAGGAAAAAAATGTGATAAATTGAGCTTCATTAAGTTTCTATCCCTCAAAAGGCACTGTTGGAAAAATGATAATACAAATCTATGAGAAAATATTTGTAAAACATTATCTGAAAAACTGATAAACAATATGCGAAAAAAATCTCAAAATGCAGTAAGAGAACATGAAACTCAATTTTAGAAATAAAGAGTCAGATATATGTGACACCAAAATACACATAGAGAGGGTAAATAAATACTTGAAAACATATCCAGTCATCAGTCATGCCAGAAATACAAATTAAAATAAAAATGAGATACCACTACATCTATAGGTTAGGTCTAATAAAACAAATTGATTGCTGGTGAGGTTGCAGAGTAGCTGAACTTCTCATGTATTACTGATGGATATAAAAAGCGACAAAGGTAGTCTGGAAAAAAAGTTTGGCAATCCCACTCCTAGAGAGTTAATCGAGAAAGACCAATCATGTTCACACAAATATCTGTATACAAAAATTAACAGCACACACCTGGACACAACCCAAATGTCCATGGAACTGCAAAATAAATACATTACGGCATGTTTATAAAATGGAATACTATCAGCAATAAAAAGGGACAAGCTGACCTCAAACTCAAGGATGTACTTGAGTACATCAGTACTCAAGGATGTAAGGCAACTTACTTTGGTACGCTGCTAGCATTTTGCTCATCCTTTTTATTGGACATAAACTCAGGTCTGTGATACGAGCAGGCACGAGGCACTGAAGAAGTAGTGACTCACTTCTGTTAAAAAAAAGAGGCAATACAATATCAGCTGTCTGCACGGGCCCAGCCCCTCCATGGAGAGGACGGTCTCTCACACTCTCCCAGGCGAGAGAACTTTCCCATCCCTCCCCACCTGGCTCATCTCTGTGTGCTCAACACATCAGTCACCCAATTGTGTTCAAAATGAAAACTTACCTTTCCAAACAGCATCTTGCATTCTAGGAAGAAAGAAAGAAAAAAGACACATGGTTACCTCTGGGTATTTAAGTCACATCTTTTATAAGCTGTGCACATGGAAATATCTTCTCTTGCCATGAACCTGATTTCCATGTAACTTCTTTAAAGTTTCATAAAACTAATTCTGCAAAAACAAATTTTATCATGGAGTAAGAAAAAGTCAGAAAAAGGTTTAAAATAATTTAGTTGCATTCCTAAGGGAAACATTGGGTAAAATAGGATTCATTTATTTGCTTTTTGTACTGAGAGTGGTAAGTGCTGAGCAAATGAAGGGGCGCCTGGGTGAGGGAGCTGGAGCCAGGTCAGAAAAGGAGTGAAATGGGCCACATGCCCTGCACTGCCTCACTAAACCTGGCCTAGAACCGAATGCTTCCTGATAGGTTTGCCCATAAAGACATTTCAACAATTATTTTCTTCATTTAAGAAATTAAATTTACTTATTTTTAACTTCTATTATGACCCTTCACTTCTATTTAAGTATTAAAAATGTACTATTTTTACTAAAATGTACCATTTAATTTTTACTGCTATGACCCTTCACTTCTAATTAATTTTTAAATGTACTATTTGCCATATTTTATAATAACCTTATTGAGCAACTGTTTACAGGAATTTGCCTTAAGTGGAAGCATGCTATGTCCTCATCCATCTCATTCACTGGATCTGGCACGGTGTGACTTCTGAACCTTTCTCAAAATCAAAATGATCATGAAATGTGAACATTTTAAACTGATTGGGACAGGGAGGCACCCTTACTAGCACAACTATAAACACAAGAGAAGACTTCCATAAATGCTGCAAGAAGTGACAAGAACAATGGTATGTGTATTTTAAACAAGGAGGACTAAGTGGTTTTTACTATAAGAAAACTTTTTAAAAATTTACGGATCCCCCATATTTTGATAACACCTTATATAGGTCAATAAAACTAATGAACCAAGATATAAAAATCTTCAATAAAATGCCAGCAAACTTAATTCAATAGAACATTAAAAGGATTATACACTGTGATGCAGTAAAAATTATTCCAGGTATGCAAAGGTATTCAGCACATGCAAATCAAACGATGTGATACACCACATTAACAGAAAAGAGGATAAAATCATATGATCAAGTCAACAGTACAGAAAAACACTTGACAAAATTCAGCATATTTTCATGATTAAAAACTCTCGAGAACTTACACATTGAACGCAATGTTCTCAATATAAATATGATGTATGAAAAGCCCAGCTAATATTATTACTTAATTGGAAAAAACTGAAACTTTTTATTTGTAATCAAGAATAAAGCAAAGATATCCACTCTTTCCATTTTTATTCACCACAATACTGGAAATCTTAGCCTATGCAATTAAGATAAATAAATAAAATTACATAAATAAAACCAAAAACCCATGCAAATCAAAAAGAAGCAAAATAATGTCTTTGCAGATGACATGAATATCCCCAAATACTCACAAAAAAGTTAAAGCTAATAAATGGGATTGACTGACTCAAGAGCATTTAGCACAACTTTTGACCAAATACAGACTGTACCTAAACATATTCTGATTATCAATAAAGCAGTGGAAGTTATATATAAAAAAAAAACAAATGGAAGCCTCTGATGCACAAGACATAATCCAAAAATGAAACATTTCATGCAAGAGACCAGCTGAAGACTTGAACTCATAGAAGAAAGAAAGTAAGAAAATCTGGATAAAATGAGAGAAAGACTGTAACTACCCATGAGAAATATGCGACCCAGTAGTGGGTTAAAATCTTTTCGACCTTTTTAAAAAATTACTGACTATACCGGGGATATAGCTCAGCAGCATAAGCACTTTGCTGGTGAGTGCAAAGTCCTAAATTCTGTCCTTAGTACAAAACAAAAACAAAAACAAAACTAACAAATACTTCTGTGAATATTATATTCAATTTGCTTTTTGTTCTGTGACTCCAATATTAAGGTTATTAAGACTTTATGCTTATTCTCAGTAGGTTTCAATGTAGGAATTTTTTCATTGACCTGTTTTCCAATTAACTACAACTGCTAGGAATGGTGGCACACACGTAATCTCAGCACTCGAGACTGAGGAAGGAGGATCACTGCGAGCTCGAGGCCGTCCAGGCCACAAAGTGAGTTCAAGGCCAGCCTGAACTACATAGAGAAAAGACAAAAAGAAACACAAAAAACAAAAGCGAACAGCAACCAAAATAACCCCAAACCAATTAACTTTACAATTAAGTAATTCTATAATCTGATCTATACAGTATTCTGTTCAATCTATCTAAGGTTCTTGTTATGTAGCATAAGTTTTAGTTCTACAAGTCCATTTGATAAATTTACAAAGAACAGTCAACATTTTTTCTTTTATTGTATCCATTTTAAAAAGTATTAATGTTAATAATAATTTTCTTATGTACTCTTATTCTGCCTCTATCATCTTGCTACTACTTACGTTTCTCAGTTTTCTTTTTATTCTCTAACGAAAGTTTATTTTCCCTCTTTAAGATTTATGAAAATATTTTATTGTATATAGGTGAATGTGTAGAAAATATCCCCAGAGATACCTAATAGAGATTTTTCCTTTTCCTCTGCTAGAAAGATAAGCAAAAGAGCTGATTATCTAAACAATCATGGATTGACAAGTCAGAGACAAGTTTTACTAAACTTTAGACTACTCCTTTACTTGTATTGTTTAAGTGTAGGACTGTTACACACCATAACCTCAAGTCTGTGTGACTACATCCTCAGGTCTGAAAGACCACAGCAGCTAATCTCTATAAACTGGAGACAGCCTGATTTCTCCTGCCATAAACTACACACAAATTCAAAACCTGGTTTGATGAGAAACAGTACCTGTGCCTAGATAAGCCCATTTTTATTTTGTCTTTTGGCTAAAATACAATATGATTTTTAAAAATTGTAACTTAGAAATTTTAGACTAGCTTACCAATACCCCCACAAAACCTTTAAATTCAGTCAAGGTGCTGTAAAAGGGAGCAACAATCTGCATAAGACCATACCGGCTCATGAACTAAAGAAACCAGGAAGTGAGGCCGTGGAGCCCCTTTGGAGAGCTATGATGAGGAGGCCACTGTAGGATGGTATGCAGAATGGTCCCCTCAACCGCAGTATCCATCCCACAAGCCGACTGTCACACCAAGTACAGAAAATCCTACTGTTCTCACAATTTCTCCACTAGAAAGCGTGAGCAGAGGCGGACACTTGGTACTCCCCACTCTCCAAGTCTTTTGCAGGAGACTGACTCTTGTACCTGCCCACATAGAGTGTTACCCAGTGAGGCTAAAAGTGACAAGGCGGGGCGGATAGGGACACAGTAGCCAATGCAGAGAGCTTGGCAGCAGCGTTGCATCCCTGCCAGAAGCACACGGCACAAGCCAGGAGTTTTAGGCGTTTGCTGCTGTGGAGCATGGTCCACAGTCTGGAATCAAAGATTTTCCAACCAGGAGCTCCTCCAGATGGGGCACTACAAAATGAACAGTCAACCTGAGTTTTGCGCCCTCTAATGCTAAAAAAGAATACAAGCAAAGGGTCGCTAGATTTTTAAGCAAGTCACTGAAAAACAGAACAACGACCAAGGGTTACTGTGAAGAGGAATAAATACAAATTGTATCAATGACCAGACAGAGATGCAAGTTTACACAAAGTAAGAGTAATCAAGGAAACATGGCCTCAACAAACAGAAAACACAAAATGTCAGCAACTGATCCTAAAGATATGCAAATGAAAGATTTTCCAGACAAGGGATGTGAAGTACTTGTTTTAAGACAACTCAATGAACTTCAAGAAAATGAAGAGAAAGTTTCCCAATTTATTGAAAAACTTTAGCAGAAAGACTGAAACAAAAGAAAATCCTAACAGCAATCCTGGAGGTGAAAAATATGTATGAACAAAATGAAACATGAAGTAGAAAATATCAGTAACAATTGATTAAACCAGAGATGATCAGTGAGTTCAAAGACATTCAACAATACAGGTAGAAAAGAAAGAATGAGAAGGAACCAGAAATGTGGGCTTGATGGGATGTTATGAGAAGAACCCATAAGTCTTTTGTATCAAAGAGGGACTAGAGAACTACAGAGGAACAGAAAGGTTATGCCAAGAATGGAATAGAAAATTTTTCAAGTGTTGAGAAAAAATTTTAAAATCTAGCATAAGAAAATTAAAGGTCACCCATAATATCCTGCCCACACAAGAAAATTACACTACAGATTATAATCAAATTCTCAAAGGTCTAAGAAAACTAGAATGCTGAAAGCAGTAAGAAAAAAAGAACCAAATAGATAAGATGTGTTTTGTCATGCCTGGAAGAGGACTTCTCAATAGAAGTCCTACAGTCAGGAGAGTGGGAGGAGATATTCAGTGTGCTATAGGAAAAATACTGTATTGAGCAAATCAAAACATTTCCAGAAAAACAAAAACTGAGGAAATTCATTATTGCAGATGACATGATCCATCACACACACACACACACACACACAGACACCTAAAGACTCCTAGAATAAATACGTTTAGCAATGTATCAGGATATCAAATCGACAAACAAAATCAGTGATGTTCCTGTACACCAGTGATAAATTCACCAAGAATGAAATTAGGAAAACAATAGCACTCACAATAGCAATAGAAAAATTAAACACTAGAAGTTAACGTAAGTATGGAACTAAAAGACCACAAAAACAAGAGTAATCTGAGACAGGCTGAATGCATCAGAAAATGAAGATATCCCCTATTCCTGGATGGGCAGAACAAATTTTGTCAAATGGCCAACTTCCAAAACTGGTATGACAGGTTTAATACAGTCACAACAAAATTACCAACAGCATTTCTGGTAGAATTAGCTAGAGAAAACAGTCCTAAAATTCATATGGAACAAGAAGAAATTCAGAATAGCAAAAACAGTGCTGGGCAACAGGAGCAAAGCAGGAGGTGTCACAATCCTAATTTCAAGTTATATTGCAAAACTAGAGATAGAACAGCATGGTACTGACTCAAAACCAGATATGTATCAATAAATCAGAATGTAGGATATAGATATAATACCAGCTCTTTCCAGCTATGTGATCTTTGTCACAAGGGCCAAAAACTTATGCTGGAGGAAAGACAGCCTCTCTAACAAATGGTGCTATGAAAACTGGCTATCCACATGCAAAAGACTGCGTCTAGTCCAGTGTCTCTCACTATGTACTACACTGAAATCAAAGTGGATCAAAGATCTAAATATTAAGGCCAGGGATTTAACTCAATGGTGTAAGCACCAGCATGGCCAATGCAAGGTCATGAGTTTGATTCCCAGTACAAAAAAGAAAAAAAAAATCTAAATGTTAAAACAGAAACACTTAATTTACTATAAGATAAAGTACTCCTTAAGATAAGGGCTTAGAGCCCGGTGTGATGCTCAGGCCTGTAATCCCAGCACTGGGAGACTGAGATGAGAGGATCATTGCGAGTTCCAGACCAGCCTGGGCTACAAAGTGAGCTCAAGCCCAGCCTGAACTGCATAGCGAGACCCCAGCTCAAAAAAAGACAAAAAAAGACAAAAAAAAAAAAAAAAAAAAAAAAAAAAAAGACAAGATCTAGACCAGGACTTTCTAAATGGAGTCTCAGTTGTACAAGAAAAGTACCAAGAATCAACAAATGGGATCATACCAAATTTAAAAATTTATGCATAGCAATAAAAAACTACAAACACTTATATTTAAGTTTGTTATCATAAATATTTTTAATTAAAATTTTAAGTTGAGTTTTCAAGTGAGTACTCATATGGCAAATGTGGAACTGGTAGAGTCTTACAATGTGTATAAGAGAACAGAACTTTAAATATATAATTCTTAGTGAGTAGAGCCTGTTATAACAAAATATCAGACTGGGTAGCCTGTATGCCATGAAGATATATGTAATGAAGATTCAAGATGAAGACACCGGCAGATGTGCTGTCTGGTAGAACCCATCACTAGCTTTTATCCCACCCACAGATTGCACGGCGAAAGTGCAGGGAGCCTCTCTCAGGCCCTTCCAGGAGCACTTACTCATCCCATTCCTGCAAGCCCCACCCAGGTCCCAACCACCCCTCCAGGGCCCACCTCCTAATTCACAGCCCGCTGTGAGATTTAGCATACAGATTTGGGGTGCACGTGGGCCTTCAGACCACAGCAAATACTGCACAAATTAATCTTATTCCTGTTTCCCAGGGACGCCACTGATGACAAGGTATGTGGGTTTTTCCCCAAAGTCTGTGAATATTAACAAGCATGTGCATACACATACATATATATACTTAGTCCCCAAAACTCAAATAAGTAGTTCTAAACTTCTTTCACTTAATGATATCTTGAAGGTACTATTTTAGTAATTGTAGAGCTGTTGCATTTCCTTTTATGGCTGTAGAAATTCCATTGTATAAGATGCATCACACTTTAGCTAATTATTCATCCTATTGAAGCACTTCTCAATTCAAATTATTCTTTTTTTGGGGTACCAGGGATAAAACTCATGACCTTGTGCTTGGCAGGCTGGCACTTAATCCACTGAGCTAAATCCCCAGCCCCTCAAATTACTCAATAATTTTAAGGTGAGAATTTTTATCAACAAGCAATCATCTACTTGACCATGACTTTATTAATACTGCTTTTTAAATTTAAGAGTGTTCAACAGATATATTAAAACAGAAACATTCTATACAAGGTATCATGATGTTTCCCTGTCTCAAAACTAATTTCCTTATGGTAACAACATTCAAAAGCCTTTCTTATATTCTTTTAAAACACAGTGTATAGTATATTATCATTTTCTATACTCACCTTGCTGTGCTATTGCACATCAGAACTTCTTAGCCTTATCTATCTATAACTTAGTATTCATTCATCAACCTCCTCCCCTTGCCCCCTTTGTTTTCACCAGCTTTTGGGAATCACCTCCACTTTCACCTGCTGAGACCAACACTTTAGATCATCCACATATGAATGAGATGTGTGGTACCTGTCTTCCTGTTCTTTCCTTAAGTCACTTAATATAACGACCCCTAATTCTATCTGGATTGTCCCAAATGCCAGGATTTCATTTATTCATAACTGAATAGTACCTCATCAATAATATGAAACATTTTCCGTATCTTCTCATCAACCGATGAAGGCTTAGGTTGTTCTATTTCTTAGCTATTGTGAATGCTGCAGCAGTAAACAGGGAAGTGCAGATGTCTCTTTGATATGCTGATTGCACTTCCCTCTGTGAATACACCCAGCAGCAGCATGCTGGACCACAGGATAGCTGTGTTTTTACTTTTCTGAGGAAACACTGTAGTGTTTTCATAACAACAGTGTGCAGAGCGCTTCTGACAACCACACAGCGGAGGTCACTGGACACTCTAAGCGAGCCCTGATGAGAGCCGTCCACTTCCCATTTCTTACACCCTGTATCCAGTCTCACCTGGAGCAAGGCTGCGGCGGGTCTCCCACATTTCTCCTCCAGCTGGGCGGTGAGCTCTTGGAGGCTGCAGAGCTGTTCAGAAACCCTCTCTTCACTCTCCTTCAGTTTATTCATGTTCTCTCTCCCCGAAAAGTCCAGTCTCTGCAGAAGAATCTCTGTTACTATTGAACAGCTGGCATCTTTCCTTTGGTAATCAGCCACGTCCTTAAAGCTTCTCTCTTGCCAGATGTGGTGGAGCACCCCAATAATCCCAGCACTGCGCAGGCTGAGGCAGGAACACTGTCTCAAAGTCAAGACCAGCCCCCGCAATACAGCAAGATCTTATGTCAAAAACCCAAACCCAAACAAAACTAAACCAAAGCAAACAAAACAACCAAAAATCTAGGTTTCCTGTTTGTAACCCCAGAAGCAGACATAATTAGGTAAGGCCATGATGTTCGTCAGTGTCAAGTGAAGTCATCTTTCAAAAGGTGACTCTTTGGTACCTGAGATGTTTAATGTAAGATGTGTAGCCTGTTTACTCTGATTAACAGTGTGCTCCCAAAACATGTCACATACTTTCTGCCATTTACTTTGTTCGGAAAGATTTAATTCCCTTCATTAAAGTAAAATCAATTAACATTAATATAATTCAGATTAAATTATATTGATAAATTTTTAAAATTTAAATAATTGAGCCACTGATACTAGTTTCCTTTTTTTGTTTTGTTTTGTTTTGCAGTACTAAAAACTGAATCTACGATCTTTGCACTGAGCTAAATTTCTGACCCTTCTTTCTATTCTTTATTTTTGAGAGAAGAGCTAAGTCACTAAATTGTCCAGCCTAGGCTTAGACTTGCCAACCTCTGGTCTCAATCTCCCAGAGTTCTGGGATTACAGATGTGTGTCACCATGCTCATCTACTGTTTTATTCTTCTAAAGGTACTTGACAGATATAAGTTGTATTTACTCTTTTTATTTTAAAGAAAAAAACTGATAGAAACAATGATACAGAATTTTAAAACAAGATTAATAGGAAATTAACAACAGTTAACACACTATGTATATCTTCAAAAAAGTTGCTCAGATAACAAGATATAGGTGTGCATAATTAATCAACAATATCACCACAAACTTTTTTCAGTGAAACTAAAAAAAAATCAGTAGTATAACTATCTTAGCTATCTTTTGTGTGTGTGTGCGTGTGTGTATATACACACACACATATTCTTTCTCTTCTTTCTTTTCTTCTTTCATTCATCCCAGCTGTTCTTTCTTTCACGTATCTATTGTAGCTTTTGGATCTTTTTTACTTTTCCAGTTTCTAATCTTTTACCATCAACAAATGTTACAATAACAATAATAATGCCTATTAATTGACGGTTTAAAATGTATAAGATATGATATAGGGAGTTTTCTGTAGATTAGGTCACTCGAAACTAAATGTTGTAAAGTAGGGACCACTGTTATCTCCATCTTATGACTTAAGAAACTGTGTCAGAGATTAAGCAACAGGTCCAAAGCCACTCGGAGATAGTAAAAAGCAGAATTCACATAGGAACCTCATCAATCTGGGTTCAAAGGTTAATTGTGAACTCTGGCATTACACAGAAACTCAGTTTTACAGTGTTGCCCTTGTCCATGTGTATTGTCATAAGGATGTAAATATATTTGCATATAATATAGCAATAGAAATATACAAATAAACTTACAAATATATTCTACATTATCCATGTGTCTTTTTGTGTGCGTAGGTGTTAAGTTCATAGCAACAGAATTGTTAGGTGAGCATATACACATTTAATGAATCTGCAGTTGTCACTGGATACCTTACTCTGGAACTGATACAATGTTCAGCTCTTCTTCCTCTAATTTTCCAAATATTATAAAGGTGCTGTGTTCAATATCCCACCTGTAGCATTTCCTGGAAATTTTCCTCTAGCTCTGCAGCAAATCTCATCAGGTAATTCTGATTAGCTTCTGTCAAGCTCAAGTCCAGTTTGCATCCTTGAGGGCTCAGAAAGTTCATCTCATTCTCTTCTCTCAGCAGCCGGAACCTCATCCTATATTCAGACTCAATTATCTCTTTAAAATTCTGCTCCTCTTCCTTCCTCAAATAGAAACATACTAGATTTTAGGCTAAATATGACATAAAGACCATAATTACACATTCTATTTCCATCTCTAGCCACAGAGTAAGACACAGGAATTGAAAGTACAAGGGGGAGAAAATAAAAGGCCTAAATCCATAGAACAACGCAAATCTGAGTTGAAGCTCGCCAAGACCTCTGCACAGTCTTGAAATTCAGAGTGATGCCAATGAGATCTGCTGACATTTTCGATGGTGGATGTAGGAAAAATGGATTCAGGATGGAAGACACCACAGCTTTGAGACTAAGTACCTAGGAGAAAGGAATTCCCAAACTACAGGAAGACAAACAATGGCAAGTCTAGATTCCAGAGGTAGGTGGTGTGTTAGTAACTCAGCTTTGTGATAAATTTGATTAGTCAATTATCCAGGAGAAGACCAAGTAGGAGCTGGACTGAAAGCTTTCTATCTGGAAATCTAGGTGAGAGATATAAATTAGGGTGTAGTTATCTGAGACATACTATTTAATCCTACGAGACTCAGTGGAATAAAACTCTTAAGAATCTGCCATTGCTCACCATCCCAGCTACTACCGTTCACCATTACCTGGTCCTGATTAGCATGAGCTTCCCTTCAGGTCTCCCCTCCTCTGCTTCTATCCTCCTAAAATACACCCTCACTTGGGCAGTTAGAGTGTTTCCATGCAAGTTAAATCCTGTTGCTTTTCTGTTAAATACCTTCTAGTATTTCCTTATTTTCTTTAAAGTTAACTGTCAGATCTTTTGCCTTCTGACCACATCATCTGCAGCCTGCACTTCCCTCTTGCAGCCTCAGCCAGACCGCAGTATCTGTGACTCTACTTCTCCTGATTTCCTCTGTCTAGAAGACTCCGACATGGTCTGATCCTTCACCTCCCTCTAGGAATTCCGTATAAAATATTACACATGTAGTTTACTGTGTTTATGTCCACATTTAAGTTTCCCAAAGACAAATTGCTTTTCAATGCCAAAATACCCAGAACTCTACACACTTGCAGGTAAAGAGTAGGACTTCAATATTTGTTAAATATATGGTGTCTGACAAATGGAAATCAACTGAGAAATTGTTACAAATCTAGGTAACTTTTCTTATCATCTCCAAATGAACATGTGCATTCTCTAAATAACTAAGAGAAAAGACCCAGAATCTGGAATGAATGGCACAGAATGGCACTAAGAATGCAGACAGAGTTTGAAATTAGAAAGAAGAGGTGCAAAGCAGATGGAGAGCTTTCAATCTGGATAACAGTTCTTAATTGTCCTCTAGATTTTCACAATTTATATGGCTACTGAAAGCAAATGAGATGCTCATTTTCTTATGTCACTTTTCCTTTTGGTAGCAGGAAATGAACTTATTACCTCAAGCTTGCCAGGCAAGGGCCATGCCAAGGAGCTGTACCCTCAACCTCTCCTCTTATAAACAGTGGTGTTAAATATTTTTCATCTTTGCCCATAAGACTTGCAAATACCACACCACAAACTACCTAATATAATTTCTGCTTACTCTTACTATGAGCAAAATTCAAAATCTTTTTATATTTTCAAATTATAGCTATAGTAATAAAAGAAACAAAACCATAAAGAATACAAAAACATAAAAAATTAAAAAGAGGGGATATTTGTACTTTTTTTATTCCAAATTTAAATCTTTGATTTTTTTCTACTGAATTTCCAGTTTGTTTTTATTTTTATTTATTTATTTATTTATTTATTTATTTCAGATCTTTTGAGGCAAGGTCTCATTATGTACTTCAGGCTGGCCATAAAATTACTATGTAGCCAAGGCTGGCCTCAAACTCATGGTGATCCTCCTGCTTCAGCCTCCCGGCGGCTGAGATTGCACGTATGAGCCACCACACCCTGCATGCTAACAGACCTTTAAGAGCTCTTTAGTATATTAGCATGGGCTTCAAGTATTATTTTGTTCTTTGTTATTTTCTGGTTTTGCCTTTTAACTTGGTTTAAGATATACTATTTCTTATCCAATATTAATGATAATTTCCTCCAAGAATCAAGATCAGTACTGACCCGAACCATCATCATTCTCTCTTGCTCATCAGCCAATATACTTTCAGCGACTTCAACTTTTTGCCATAATGACTCCAACATTTCTTGGAATAACTCCTGTAGAGAAATATATCATAGAATAAGTTAGAATAACGGATCCCTAACTCTAGACAACTATAGGGTTAGAGGGATGCCTACATGTTTTCTTAGTTTTTTTTAAGTTTTGACCAATACAGTATTTCTCTGTTACTTCTTAAGAGGCATTAAGTAATGGAATGGTTTTGGAGGATCAGAATATCTACCTAACATACCATAAAGGACTTGGCCCCAGTGCTTTGAGACTGTGAAACCTACCCTGTATTTTTCAGCAGCTGCCTCTATACCAAGGACTGTGTGATGCTTGTGTTCCTGGGACAGGAGGCACTGGTTGCACATGGTGACTTGGTCATCGTCACAGAACAGCTCGAGTGGTTCCACGTGTGTTGCACAATAGGCATCTTCTGTTGCGCAGTGCTGTAACTGGAGCCTGCACCTTTTGGACATCCTGGCTGGGGTCAGCAGTTGAAGAGTGGGCTGCTTGTGCCCAGAACAGAATACCTTCCTGTACTCTGGACAGGGAAAGGCAGACAGGCTTCCTCCTTGTTCTGGGGCAGGTACACTTGGTAACCTCGGGGTCTACAGTGGAGCACCACAGACACAAGGGCAGTCCATGCAGACAGAGCAGGTCAGTGTAGCGTGGACTCCTCAAATGCAGCAAAGCATTGGCAGTCACTTGCTTGAGGAAAAAGATAGCAAAGATGTTAATATTCCCAATCAAAGGGCTTCTCTCCTGATGATTTTAAGTAATAGACTAAAATATTGAAAAACAAACAACAGCAGACACAGCATCTCTCTGTAAGTCACTTAAGAAAAAAATACAAAATGCTCAGTGGAAATGTAAGTGTAAGAGCCCCTGAAGGAACACTGGAACTGGGCGGGGGCAGCAAAGCCAAGCATTCATGGTACGAAGTGCATATATTCAAGGCAGCGCTCACTCCCCCAGTACTCAGCAAGATCGGACAGTGAAGGATGCTTTGAGAGCTTCTTAGCTAGCAGGCGTCTACCTGCCAAATATAGGGAGACAATTATTTTCAAGGTGGCATATGTACGCATGAGCCCGAGGTAGTTAGCTTGTAGGATCCTAGAACTGATTAAGGAGGGAATCATAAAACAAAACAAAAATAATTTTGTAAAATACGTGAGATTGTACTTTCTCTTGCTTTGCTTTCCAGGAATCCACACATGATCTGTGATTTCCTGCATTCCCATATCTATACCCAATTATATGATTTACCGTTGGTCAATACTACTATGTTTTGTCCAGAAATATTATTTTAATTACATTGTTAAAATATACCCTTCCTGAATTTTGGAAGCTCTTTCCTTACTGTAGGTCCACTCGCGTTCACTTTAGTTACCTGGTCTAACTGAGCCACTGTTAGGTGACATCATAACACTAAATACTAAGTTGTCAAAATGCTGTCCTGTTTTCACAGGTGTCCCCACCACTCTACTCTGCCAACTAGCTTTTCTAACAACAGGATAAGCCTCAAGGCTCCCAAACTTCTTAATTCTCCCCAGACCTGCCTCCCACCCAAACTATTTTTCTCTGACATCAATAAGACTTCCTGTCTCCTCTCCTCACTGCCCCCCACTTTTTTTCACTTAACCTTTAAGGCATTGAGGCTCCTTCATAGCCGAGCCCAATGGTGCATGCCTGTCACCCAGCGTTCTAGGAGGCTGAGGTAGGAAGACCCCCGAGATTTTGAGGCCAGCCTGAACTACACTGTAAGACCCTATCTCAGAAAAAAAAAGACACTAAAAAACATTTATAATGCTCAAGATTAATTTGGTACATATGACCTTTTTTTTTTTTTTAGGTTTCTCTTAAAATAGTTTTCAAAACGTGGTCTTGATTTGACTTACTCATTCTCTGGGCTTCCATTTGTAGACAACGGATAAAACTGCCAGAGTTTGCTATTAAGAGGTACCAAGCAGTACTAGTCGTCATTTATTATAGTTCTAAAAATGTCTCTACATACTTACACGCTCCCAGTTTTAAAAAAGGTAACATGTTAAGAATATCGTTATGTCTTTATGAAGACTGAAATACTGAATTCTGAAGTATCTGATTTATTTACCATTTGTTAAGTTTATGATTAGTATTATTGATAATATTTATTTAAAATGGGCAATTCACATAAAAACATTCTGTCTATAGAAACATTCTATCTATAGCTGTCTCAAGAAAATAAACTGCTGTAATTGCCAAGATGTGGGTGATTGCCTAGATACTATCTGTAAACACTCTTACTTTTAAAAGACTGAGCAGAACCACAGTTATTTCAAATTTGGTAATTTGGAAGGTGTTTCTGCATAAAGGTGATTGTGTCATCTTATGGAAAAAAAAACTCAACTAACAATTGAGCATATTAGTTGCCAATGATTAAATAGGAACTTTTAAGTAAAAACTTGTGGAAAACTTGTATTCACCATTGTCAGCAAGAGAGCTTTCCACTACTTAATCTGATCTAATAGATTAGTGTTGACATTAACAAATGTCCTATCTGGTAATGCATAGTCAACTGTGCCAAGATTTGGAGGACCTGCTAATTCAGTCTGTGTTTTCAAATGACCAATGTGTGCTGTTACAAAATTCTAGAAGGAAAGAAGAGTGATTTAAATTATAAGATGGACTGATAGATTCAACATACAGAGTGCAAAAGAAGTTAATTGATAGGATTATATCTGAAAGTGCTATGAGAATTTTTCTCCCCCTTTACATTTCTTTGTATAAAGTAAGATTTCAATCAAATGACAATCAGAATAGCATAATGCAATGTACAGAATGTGGAACCAGGTATCAGAAAGCAGCTGTTTTGATAAGCCATCAATTGAAAAGATTTGCAAAATAATAAACTGTGTCAATCCTCTCAATAATTTAGATTCAGACAATGTTATTGCATGAAAAAGTTTTTAAGAACTCACTTTAATGAATTAATAATTTAAAATGCACTTTGTCCTGACATGGTGGCATACACAATCGTCCTAACATTTTAGAAGGCTTACACAGGAGAACATCAAGGTTGAGCCCTGCTTAGACAACTTAGCAATATCATATCCTAAAATACAAAGCAAAACAAAAAATTTATTGAGATGTTCCTCAATAATTTGTGTGCAAAGAATTTTGAAAGTTGATAATTTTGGCTTTTCTATAAAGGGCAGAGAGTATTCCTCAGAAATACAATTGCTAATAAATGCATCTATAGCTTTTATACATTTTTGTCATTCATTAAGGAGAAAAGGTTTATTTTAGCTCAAAGTTTATAGAGGTTTCAGTCCACAGTTAGCCACCTTATATTTTGTCATTTTCTTAACCATAAAAGTTATACAGACTTGTTTTTCAAGTAACATGTAAGAAAGCTGTTAAAATTTAGGATTATTGCCCACAGGGTTGCTAGGAATATAATCTTCAAATATTTTCACTCTCTTTTTTCTTACGTTGATATTCTTTACCAATTTTCTTCTATCCAGTTTTTGCTCTCCCTTCCTTTTGAAGACAGGGTTTGTGTGTTCAGAGTGACCTTTAGCTCACTGTGGAGCCCAGGCTGGCCCTAAACTTGCAGTGACCTTCCTGCCTCAGCCTGGTGAGTGGCTATGGCATACTCAGCTGGGGCAGGTTTTTGTCTATTTTAAAGAGATATTTATATATCTAAAACGGTGGGTCTTTTCTTATGAATTACAAACATTTTGTCCCACTTACTTGTCTTTGAATATATTCTCATCCTCCTATACACTTAGGTCTTCAGCTAAATGTGCCCCAGAGGACTCCACCAATATGCAGAAGCTCGCTAAGCTCCCAGCAGCAGTTCCCACAGCTGACCCAGCCCTTCCTCCTGCAACATTTTTTACTTCTGCAGTCCATCCAGGCCTTATATCCCAGACCCCTCTTTCTTGCCTCTGGGTCTCGATATTCTTCTGCTTGGTTTTTTACTGCTTTAATTGCCTTGAGCGGTGAGATTCTGAACTATTCCAAACCTCTGGTGTCCTATCTGTGTCCTACAGTTTCAACCTATCTAATCTCATTCTACACCCTAAATACATTTCCTAGAGCAGAGGGGCTGTTACCTTTGCATTTGAATCTTCCAATAAACACTCAAAATTAACATACCTAATACTGCTTTGCAACCAAAGTCCAACCACAATGTTGACAACTGAATACCATTTTCCATTTGTATTCTGTTCTGCTTCTTCCTATCTCAACTCCTCTCAAAGACCAGAATAGTTTTAAAACTCACTCTGGGCCTCTAGTCACCACCTGCCACTGCATCTAAGATTGCATGCAAAGGGTTTATCTGCAACCACCTGCGCCTCCCCCAGCCCCCTGCACCGAATCTCATCTACAGCTTCTCTCAAAGACTGTCAATTCCAGCTCCACCTAATTATTCAAAGGCAGGGCTGCCCTGTCTGTCTCCACAGCTTCAATCCTCTGCTCTCATACTTTTACAATTCTGGCTTTAATTTTTTCCTTCCTTCATTTATCAGCTCAAATGTCCCTTCACAGAGGCCACTATTGGATACTTTCTGTTACTTACACTCTCATCTTTCTGTATGCAACTGATTTTATCATCAGAGAACAACTTCACACATGAACTGTACAACTGATGTACTAGATGCTCAAAGTATGCTTACCAGTCAGTATAAGACAGTGGTATTTAGATTCATCTGTGTTTATTAAAACAGACTTTTTTTTTTGCCTCACTTCCAGGATATTGGACTCAGATTTCAAGATGGAGTCTATTAGTTTACATTTCTAAGGAACTCCTAGAAACTGGAGTATAACTTTGACCTTGATCCAGAACCTCAGTCCTTTGGGTGAATATTTTGTCCTTGGTTAAATCTAGAAAGTCTGGTACAACGCCCCGGGCACTAAGGCCTCTTAACATGCATTTTTTTTTAACAAAGGCACCTCCTTGTCAGTTGCACAGGAAGACAGCATTCCGGCAAAACCCCTGGAATCTCACTGTGCTTCCTCCTTAGCCACATTATTTTTATCTTAAGCTGTTAAATATTTTTACTGGAAATGATGCCTGATTTCATTGTTAGTTTCCAGACTGTTTGCTGAAGGAAATGATCACTGCATTATTTGCAGACAGAAAATCAAGACTAGGGATAATTACCTGCCTAAAGAATTTGTCACAGATGGAAGGTTAGGAGACAATCCTAGATCATTCATATTTGATCTCAGGAAGAAGGAAATCTTCTCAGCGTCTTAAATTTTACAGTTATTTCCCCTCCCCAAGAATCTTATTACATCAATCAATACTCCGCTAGTCAAACTTCAGTGTTTTTTCTTTAAACTGCTAGTAAAATAAAATAACAGCTAAATTCTCAGACTTGGCTATCTGATCTTCCCAAAGAGACTCTATACTGTCGAATCTCTTGATAACATTTTTTCTGCTTTGACACAGGGTTTGCTGTGTATACTTCCTTGAACTCATGTA